TCCAAAATATAGCAGAGGGAGGAACACTCCCCAACTCATTCTACGAGGCCACCATCACCCTGATACCAAAACCAGACAAGGATGTCACAAAGAAAGAAAACTACAGGCCAATATCACTGATGAACATAGATGCAAAAATCTTCAACAAAATACTAGCAAACAGAATCCAACAGCACATTAAATGGATCATACACCATGATCAAGTGGAGTTTATTCCAGGAATGCAAGGGTTCTTCAATATACGCAAATCAATCAACATGAAACACCATATTAACAAATTGAAGGAGAAAAACCATATGATCATCTCAATATATGCAGAGAAATCTTTTGACAAAATTCAACACCGATTTATGATAAAAACCCTGCAGAAAGTAGGCATAGAGGGAACTTTCCTCAACATAATAAAGGCCATATATGACAAACCCACAGCCAACATCGTCCTCAATGGTGAGAAACTGAAAGCATTTCCACTAAGATCAGGAACAAGACAAGGTTGCCCACTCTCACCACTCTTATTCAACATAGTTTTGGAAGTTTTAGCCACAGCAATCAGAGAAGAAAAGGAAATAAAAGGAATCCAAATCGGAAAAGAAGAAGTAAAGCTATCACTCTTTGCAGATGACATGATACTGTACATAGAGAATCCTAAAGATGCTACCAGAAAACTACTAGAGCTAATCAATGAATTTGGTAAAGTAGCAGGATACAAAATTAATGCACAGAAATCTCTGGCATTCCTATACACTAAGGATGAAAAATCTGAAAGTGAAATCAAGAAAACACTCCCATTTACCATTGCAACAAAAAGAATAAAATATCTAGGAATAAACCTACCTAAGGAGACAAAAGACCTGTATGCAGAAAATTATAAGACACTGATGAAAGAAATTAAAGATGATACAAATAGATGGAGAGATATACCATGTTCTTGGATTGGAAGAATCAACATTGTGAAAATGACTCTACTACCCAAAGCAATCTACAGATTCAATGCAATCCCTATCAAACTACCACTGGCATTTTTCAGAGAACTAGAACAAAAAATTTCACAATTTGTATGGAAACACAAAAGACCCCGAATAGCCAAAGCAATCTTGAGAATGAAAAACGGAGCTGGAGGAATCAGGCTTCCTGACTTCAGACCATACTACAAAGCTACAGTAATCAAGACAGTATGGTATTGGCACAAAAACAGAAATATAGATCAATGGAACAGGATAGAAAGCCCAGAGATAAACCCAGGCACATATGGTCACCTTATCTTTGACAAAGGAGGCAGGAATGTACAGTGGAGAAAGGACAGCCTCTTCAATAAGTGGTGCTGGGAAAACTGGACAGTTACATGTAAAAGTATGAGATTAGATCACTCCCTAACACCATACACAAAAATAAGCTCAAAATGGATTAAAGACCTAAATGTAAGGCCAGAAACTATCAAACTCTTAGAGGAAAACATAGGCAGGACACTCTATGGCATAAATCACAGCAAGGTCCTTTTTGACCCACCTCCTAGACAAATGGAAATAAAAACAAAAGTAAACAAATGGGACCTAATGAAACTTAAAAGCTTTTGCGCAGCAAAGGAAACCATAAAGAAGACCAAAAGACAACCCTCAGAATGGGAGAAAATATTTGCAAATGAAGCAACTGACAAAGGATTAATCTCCAAAATTTATAAGCAGCTCATGCAGCTTAATAACAAAAAAACAAACAACCCAATCCAAAAATGGGCAGAAGACCTAAATAGACATTTCTCCAAAGAAGATATACAGAGTGCCAACAAACACATGAAAGAATGCTCAACATCACTAATCATTAGAGAAATGCAAATCAAAACTACAATGAGATATCATCTCACACCAGTCAGAATGACCATCATCAAAAAATCTAGAAACAATAAATGCTGGAGAGGGTGTGGAGAAAAGGGAACCCTCTTACACTGTTGGTGGGAATGTAAATTGATACAGCCACTGTGGAGAACAGTATGGAGGTTCTTTAAAAACTACAAATAGAACTACCATATGACCCAGCAATCCCACTACTGGGCATATAGCCTGAGAAAACCATAATTCAAAAAGAGTCATGTACCAAAATGTTCATTGCAGCTCTATTTACAATAGCCCAGAGATGGAAACAACCTAAGTGTCCATCATTGGATGAATGGATAAAGAAGATGTGGCACATATATACAATGGAATATTACTCAGCCATAAAAAGAAACGAAATTGAGCTATTTGTAATGAGGTGGATAGACCTCTAGTCTGTCATACAGAGTGAAGTAAGTCAGAAAGAGAGAGACAAATACCGTATGCTAACACATATATACGGAATTTAAGAAAAAAAAATGTCATGAAAAACCTAGGGGTGAAACAGGAATAAAGACACAGACTTACTAGAGAATGGACTTGAGGCTATGGGGAGGGGGAAGGGTAAACGGTGACAAAGCGAGAGAGAGGCATGGACATATATACACTACCAAACGTAAGGTAGATAGCTAGTGGGAAGCAGCCGCATAGCACAGGGAGATCAGCTCGGTGCTTTGTGACCGCCTGGAGGGGTGGGATAGGGAGGGTGGAAGGGAGGGAGACGCAAGCGGGAAGAGATATGGGAACATATGTATATATATAACTGATTCATTTTGTTGTGAAGCTGAAACGAACATACCATTGTAAAGCAATTATACTCCAATAAAGATGTAAAAAAAAAAAAAAAAAAGGTTAACATTTTCAATGGCTAACCATACGCACTACTGGCAAGGATATGGAAAAACTGTATGTCTCATACACTACTAGCAGGAATACAAAAAATCACAATTTGCAATTTCTTAAAAAGTTAGCTACCCACTTACCCTGTAACTCAGGCATTGCACCCGCCTCCACCTCCACCCTACCCCCCACAGCCAAATTAACACAAGATAAATGAAACATGTATGTGAAGAACTAGATTCAAATATCTTAGCATGTTTATTTGCAACAATCAGAAACTGGAAAGAACTCAAATATGCATAAAAAGACAAAAGAATAAACAAATAGTGGTACACCCACAAACTGTCATACTTCTAAGCAATACAAAAAAAAAAACAACTACTCATTTAAGCACCATTGATGACTATCAAAATGAGTAAGCCACATGAGGCTACTCAAAGGAAAAAAAGTGTAAACACTTTATGAGTAGAATCATATACAATTCTAAAATGGAAGCTAATCTATTATAATGGAAAGTAAACAAATGCTTGCCTGGAGAGCAGAGATAGTACAGAAGGAGACATTATTAAAGGGCATGAAGTAAAACAGAGGATGATGGAGAGGCTCATTATTATGATTGTGGTGGTGCTTTTATGGATTTACATGAATGTCAAAACTTGTCAAAATGTTAAGTTTAAATATAATCAGTTTGTTGTATGTCACTTATACCTTACTAAAGCTCTGAAAATATGATTCAAAACAGAAAGCTAGATTTCCTACAATTCTGGAAAATTAGTTTGGCAATCCTCTACTGATTCCACAACTCTTTCCTCATGTCTGGGAGGGATACCTTGCCTTGGTGGTGGCAAATATCAGAAGCAACAAGGCAATTTCCACCAAATTCAATGGGAATGAAGGCTGGGTTACAAAGGGCACAACTCATCTTCACCATCCTCATTTTCCTACACAGCAAGAGATTTGAGGTGAACACGCACACATGCTACAGGAATCCACAGAACATTTATAAATTTTTCCTCTCGCAACAGCCTCCCTACACAAAATACACAGTTCTGGAGGCCATGAGAATTTCTGCACCTGCTCATCCTTCATAGCTATAGGGACTGGAACATTGTGGAGGTCCGTTCAAAACAGACACATTCCAACAATCTTGTGGCAGTCTCTTCCCCTCCCTACAAAACCAGTGTTCCTGTAACAAATGATTTCCCTGCCCATAAATCATATAACCTATGCTGCCACTATTTGGAATTCTGGACATGAGGGTACATGGCTCCAATGCAAGACCTGGGAAACAGATTTCCCTTACCACCTGGACACAATGCAATACTCCCTGGGAACAAGACAATTTCTTCTTGCTTTAGGAAGCACCAAAGGTTATCACAACAGCCCCTCTACAGACTGACCTCTGAACCAAAAAAATACCAACGCATCCAGGTTACAGATAAGGATTACATCCCTGCAGTCCTTTCTTGGAGGCCTTGGGCAGCAATGCCAACTAGGACAAAACTAGAGAGAAGTATACTTTACATCATATTGTTCCCTCTGAGGCGCACAGAATTTGAGATCCCACAAGAAAGCTCTTCAGCCCTGTTGTCACAACTCAGTTGTTTTCAAATCACCACAGTGTACAGAATCCCAAGATTAAAGGAGCTTAAACAGTAAGGCTTCCATTTTCACACCAACCAGTACAATGGGAAGAAGGCTATTCTTGGACTGGAGACATGAAGCACAGGAAAATCCCATCACAGCAGTCACGTGAGACCAACAACGTCCCTGAAAAAAGTAGTCCCGGTTGCAAGTCACCAGCAGAGTCCTCTAGGCCAAAAATTGGTCAGATCAGTGAGGTAACCCATCAAACAAATTAGAAAGGAATGAGTGCTCAGGATTATAAAGACTCCCACAAACAGGACAACATCAAGGTCTCCTTCCCTGGACTCGGTGGGGTGGTTCAATGATGCACATCATGAGCACCTGCCACATAGTAGTGGTGAAATGGCTTTTGCTATGGAACTGGCAATGATGTAAACCTGGTAAGGGCCCTGGGCAGGTTAAGAAATGCACTGAAGCTCCCATAAACCTGGAATTTAAGTGGTTTATTGGGTATATTGGCAGATAGCACCCTCATAAGGGATCTCCCCAGTGTTATACTGAACAATCCATCCCTGCACAACTACTCTTTTTCTGAAGTGAACTTTGTGGTATCCAATGAAATAAGACTGAAGCCTGTGAACTCTCCAGTGTGAAATGAGGCTACAGTTTGGCTAAAGGTTTCCCACAGTTATCACATCCATAAGCCCATTAACCAATGTGAACATTATGGTGTTTTATGAGACTGTAGTTTTAGGTAAAGGATTTCCAACATTTCCTACAACATACAGACTTTCTGCAGTGCGGACACTCCTGTGTTTAATGAACCTGGAGTTTTTAGCAAAGGATTTCCCACATTCACAGCACTTATATGGCTTTGATCCAGTGTGAGTTCTCTGATGTTGAAAAACAGAGCTTGGGCTAACCAACTTCCCAAATTTTCTTTACTTTTATGAGTTTTCTCCAGTGAACTCTCTGATGTCGAAGGACTGAAGAACTTTGGGCAAATGCTTTCCCACACTCACTGCACTCATAAGGCCTTTCTCCAGTGTGAATTCTCCTGTGTTTAATGAAGGCTGAATTATCAGCAAAGGATTTTCCACATTCAGTGCACTCATAAGGCCTTGAACCAGTGTGAATTCTCTGATGTTGAAGGAGTGTAGAGTTTTGGCTAAATGAGTTCCCACATTCGTTGCATTTATATGGCCTTTCCCTGGTGTGAACTCTCTGATGTATAATGAGGTAGGATTTCTTGCTAAAGAATTTCCTCCATTCCCCACACTCATATGGCCTTTCACCAGTGTGAACTCTCTGGTGTTCAATGAGATGGGACTTGTTGCTAAGTAATTTCCCATATTTCCCACACTTATAAGGTCTTTCTCTAGTATGGACTCTCCAATGTTGAATAAGGTTGGACTTTTGCCTAAATGATTTTCCACACTCCCCACACTTATAAGGCCTTTCTCCAGTGTGAACTCTCTGATGTCGGAGGAATGAAGAGCTTTGGCAAAATGTTTTTCCACATTCACTGCATTTATAAGGCCTTTCTCCAGTATGAACTCTCCTATGTTTAATGAGTCTGGAGTTTACAGCAAAGGATTTTCCACATTCAGTGCATTCATAAGGCCTTGATCCAGTGTGAAGTCTCTGATGCTGAAGGAGCACAGAGTTTTGTGTAAAAGTTCTACCACATTCATTGCACTCATAAGGCCTTTCCCTAGTGTGAATTCTCTGATGTTGAAGGAGGGTAGAGCTTTGGCTAAACGATTTTGCATATTCATCACATTCATATGGCTTTTGTTTCATGTGAACTCTCTTGTGTGTAAAGAGGTTGGAGCACTGAGTAAATGATTTCCCACATTCTGTACATTCATAAGGCCTATCTCTAGTGTTATTTCTCTGGTGTTCAATGAGGTTGGAGCACTTAGTAAATGATTTCCCATATTCTGTACATTCATAAGGCCTATCTCTAGTGTTACTTCTCTGGTGTTCAATGAGGTTGGACTTTCTGTTAAATAATATCCCATGTTCCCCAGGTTCAAAAGTTCTTTCTCCATTGTAAACTTTCTGATGCTGACTGACGTTACAGCTTCTCTCACACTGATTACACATAAAACATCTTTCTCTAGTGAGGAGTCTCTGGTGCTGAACAAGTGTGTGTTTGGGACTGAAAGCTTTTGTGCATTCTTCCCAGTTATGATAAGTTTTTCCCCTCTGAAAGGCCATCCCACACTCGGCTCTGCTGTTTGACCTCTCCCAGGTGTGAGTAGCCCATTGCTGGAGAAACTGAGAACTGGCCAAGAAGTCCTTCCCAACCACCCTGAAGACTAATGGCTTCCTTGACACATGGTACTTGTAGTTCTTCACAAATGAGGCTCTGTCCACCTCTCTTCTGAAGGGTTTCTCCCCGATGCACTGCCTCTGATGCTGATGAAGGTTTATGCTTACATACAATTGTTTCCCACATGTCTCACACCTATGTAATTTCTGCTTTGAATGTGTTCCTTGATATTTATTCAAGTACAAAAATTCTCTCAATATCTGGACACATATTTCACAAGGGTGGGCCTTTCTGAAGGACAGATCTGCCTTGGGACTCCTGATCTGTGACACTCTTTGAACAGAAGTACACTGCTCAAAAGAAGCCTTCTCATTCTCCACTTCATGGCAACAACCTAAAAGCAAGAAATGTTGGCGAAGTACATGTTGATTTCCGTGGGAGGGGGGAGCCCACACACCAGTGTGTGTCTGACAAACACATGAATGAGTTTGTGTGATTATTTACAAGAACACAGAGTTGGGTTCAAGTTGATGACATGGCTGTTAGCAATACTGGGCTATAAAGGCCACAGGATGGGGGAAGACCACATGAGAGAAAAGACACAACCATGTGATGTGTCATAGGGAGGAGAGGCAGGGTGAAAAATTAAAGTTGACGGTTAAAAAATTAGTTACAAACAACTTTCAGCAGGACCTTGTCTGCTGTTAACACATGACTGCAATGTAGATGGGTATTTCCAGGCCCAAGAAAACGGGACTGCAACAGAACAGCTGTTGGTCAGGAACATTTTAAGAATGGGTACATGTTTGATTATAGAAAATATATGGGCCAACGTTAGAGAATGCACAGATAAAGCAGTGAGAAAAGTGGGTGATACAGGGAGTTTAGAGACGTGAGGATTAGCCACAGGCTGGAATAAAAGTGGAAGAATCACAGTGCAGAATTGACAAGTCAGCACTGTTAAGAATGGGGCAGAAAAAGCAAAAATAAGGTGTGACCACTGGAAGTAGCATCAAAACACTAGTCAAACAGCACAAATTTCTGGTATCACTTGAACACAGGACTATCATACACTCCCATAGTGCTACTGTACAGCAGCCCTTTGAGCCCATTTGGCTGAGTCTGAATTCATATCCATCCTGTGGACAAACAAGGGCTCTCCACCCCACTTCCAAAATGAACAAGTGTATGGGACCTGGTTGATGAAAATAAGAGGGGAAAGATACCACCTATGAGCAGCTGACCCATACTCATCACATCATAGGCCAGAGAAAAACATCTAAATACTATTAAGAGAACTTTGGAAAGGGGTCTTGCAAGAAGTCCATGGTCTACATCAGAGAATTAATTCCCAGCACAGGCAGTCATGAGGAAATGTCAGTGAAAAGAAGGAAGTAGAATCTGAGGCGCAAGGATGACATGCATCTAGACAACATCACCCAGAAGGAAGAGGGCAAGTATGGTGGGATACATTAGGCTGAATGGAAGATTCCTGACCCTGGATCCTTCCAGGGAAGGCTGTAGAGAAGCAGATATGGGGCCTATTCAAGGAGAACAGATGGCAGTGCAAACATCTCAGCCCAACCAACCATAGCAACAACTTAGGGAATTGGGGGAAAAAAGCAGTGACAATGGTCCCGACGTGAAAAGGACAGACTTGTCTCTGGGGAAAAGGAAAGGGCAGAGACTAGTTCAGGACATGGGGAAAGATTTTAGGTTCTTATCCAGGGAGGTTATAAGTGCCAAGTTCTCCAGCATCATATCATGGTACAGGTATCTTTGAGCCTCATCAAGGAGACCCCATTCCTCCCAGGAAAAGGTCACAGCTACATCTTCAAAGTTCACACTGACCTGCCATGATGGTGACAGATAAAACCACAAACAGTCCACTTCTGAGAAGTCACAATCTATTTCCCCACACATCTATCCTATGACTATCCATCACCCAAGCTTCCCAAATCAGAGGATCAATCAGGCCCTGACGCCATGGTGTGGTTTTCTCCCCACGGGCCCACTGCTCACTAGGTACAACAACCAGGAAGAAGAGACAGGTGGATGAACATATAGCTCAGCTACAGTCCTGGCATAAAGGGATCCACCCCCTCCTGACAAGCAATTCCCCTGGTGTGGCCATCGTCCTGAAATTATCAATGCAGTGCCCTGGAACCATCAGACATGTTCCCTCTTCAAGCACACATCACTCCTTAAACTGTACATCCCTCAGTCTCAGTATCCCACAGCCACACATGACCATGGCCACCAACACCTCACTCTCCCACACCATAGCCATCTCCCTCCCCTCCCCATGTTACTTGTATTTAAATCAGTTCCTCCTAACCCCACCACAGGGCTATGATGGTGGCCTAACACATGACACCTGAGACTGGACCGATGAGACTGACAGCAGTTTCTTAATCACATAAATTCACACATCTGAGAATAGGACACCACTCACCACAAAGGCGTACATGGGCAAAAACAACACACACAGGGGCTGTGGGATGGAACCTTTCTAGGATGAAGGGGTTGGGATGTTCCAAGGAGGATGTGATTGTCTTATCTGAACAATTCTGAGGGCTGGTAGGGAACTGATACCCGATACAAAGAAGCTCCTGGTTTGCTTTGTAAAAATGGTTGTTAGGCTAGGAGACGTTATCTGAAGGAACACTGTGGGGAGAGGAACTTGCACTCAGGCCATTTGAGGGCACCCAGGTTTCACCAAGCGTGAAGGAAGCACATCATATTGGGTTTAGGCCTTACACCACAACTCGGCAGACAGCATCCACAGTACAACTGGTAAAGTCAAGCAGGACCCAATATGACCACAGACCTCCCACAATTCCCAATGGCAGCATCAGAAATCATCTATAAATGCCTTACTGCATGACTCTGATCCTTGCCTCAAATTTAAGGAATAGAACCACGTGTGGATCTCAGATACTCACAGTCCCATGCTACTTCTGTGCTGCCCTTCCTGTCCCTCGGCAATGACAACACTTCTCTGCTCCCTTACCTTCATTCATACTCCAGCCCCATTACTCACCCTCCCCAAGCATAGTGATTCTCACAGATGACCTTATTTGCTCATGGCCATATATACCAGGTTGAATGAAACACCCCAGACCCTACCAAAGTCCTCACAAATCTTGGTGACCCTATATAGTGGTGAATAAGCACCAGATCTGGCCTGAGTGTCATATGTATGAATTACCCTTGCTTCTACATCCATCTCATGTCCACTCTTCTCTTGGAAGCTCTGGCCACCTGCCAGACTTTCTTGTCTCATACACCAAATCTTCATGGCCATTTACCTACATTTATGAAGGCTGACACCATCACCCAGGTACACAAGCATGAGACCCAATCCTCTGACCCCACCCTCCACACATCTCCCCCTAAAAGCTTTGCCACCACAACCCGAAGCTTGCCTCTCTTAATGTGAGCCACAGGTCATTCACCTTGGTCCACACTCTAGTTACATTTTGGATGTCTCTAACCTGAATCACTCCCAAGAATTCCAAACCTGTATGTTAGATGTTCATTTGATGCCTTTATTCAGTGGTGTCTGAAATATCTCAGACTCTTAACATGGTCCAAAAAAAGCTCCTGCTAAACCCAGTGAATATTACACCTACTACCAACTTGCTCATCTCAACTGATGCAGCTTCCAACCCTACAGCTGCAAAGCCAGGGGTCATCATTGATCCCTGCGTTTCACTCCCTCACCACCCATGTTAGAAATCTAGCTGTCCCCTTTAAAAACATGAAGCCAGAATACAACCACATTTCCTAAGGCACGCCCCTGCTCCATTAACCCTCACCTGGACTATGACAGTAGCCTCCACAATGATGTTCCTGCTTCCTCTCTCAAGCCCACAGTCTGTTTTCCACTCTAAACCCAAATGAAGCCTGTTAAGGCCTTGGTCACATCACCTCCCTACCGTGAGCCAAACCTCTAGAACACACACCTGACATCTCAGGCAGTTGTTCCCCTCCTGACTCCAAACCACCTACTATTTATTCCTACCTGTAAAGAGAGGATACCTGTGGTTCCTGAATATTCCTGAGCTCAATTTTACCTCTAAGCATTTGCACATCCTGGTACCATGTCTTGGGTTAACCATACACACCTGTTTACAATGGTTTCCAGAAATGGGAACACCTCCATATAATTGTAGCATGGACTTGGGACACTGGGCCTGGAGTTTTTCTGCATGCCCAGACTCAAGGAGGGGGAAAAAATGGCATCAAGCATCTCAGGACACCACAATTCCAGGGAACATAGGGATGAAAGCAGGGCTGGTGAGGCAATGGGACACCCTCTACTTCCCTGTGCAGGTTCCATAGGCACTTCTCTAACCGTGAGAACCTGAGTGAAGAGGCAGGTCCTAAAGGAATGCGTCCATGGTGGGATTTGAGGGGCTAACTGTATGTACTCCTGCCTGGCCTTGGAGCCAGGTGACCTCAGGCTGGCTGACTAACTTCTGGGCCTCAATGCTCAGTGTTGCCTCTTACCAGCTGTGGGACCCTGAACAAAGATTCAACCTCCTAGGACCTCAATGTCCTCATCAACCCTCTCCACCCTGTTCTTCCTTTAAACGGCTCTTGGGAATGCTCTAACATCTGACGGGAGATACTATCTTCCTTTATTCGAAACACCCCATGACCTTTAGAATCCTCGCAATAAAGTACAATCCTGGGTCGGTTACACCAGGTCTAACTCCACTAACACTGTTCCCTGTAAGCAGAAAGCTGACCCTAGGTTTCCTGAATCCTCCCGCCTCAGGCCGATTTCCAAGCCTTCGCATCTGCGGGTACCTCTGCCTGTGACCTCTCCCACGCGCCATCACGCTGTCATAAACAGGGCCCCACCCACGACCGCTTCACTGTCCTGGGCACCGTGGCCTGGGCTGCGGGCATGTGAGCAGGCGCCCCACACTCGGGGTTTTAATGTCTGGTGGAGTGAGGGGTGTGAGGGCCCGGGGAACGAGCGTTTACCTAAGGCGGGTACCTCAACGCCGCCGCCATCGGACTGTGGGCGGAGCGGGGCCGGGAGCGGCGGAAGAGTCTGGGGGAGGCGGGCATGGCGGTCCGTCTCACGGGCCTTGCGCCAGGCACCCCAGGCGGCGTCGCCGAACTTCAGATCCGCCTCTGTGCCTTGGGGACAGCGCCTCCTCCCGGACCTCCCGTTCCAGTCACTCCGGTCCTGACACAGCGCTCCGGAGCTGAACAGAACCAGAGCAGTTAAAATGCCCACCTTGGGGGCTTCCCTGGTACCTTGGGGGCTTCCCTGGTGGCGCAGTGGTTGAAAGACCGCCTGCCGATGCAGGGGAGGTCCGGGGAGATCCCACAGGTCGCGGAGCGGCTGGACCCTTGAGCCATGCCCACTGAGCCTGCGCGTCCGGAGCCTGTGCTCCGCAACGGGAGAGGCCACAACAGTGAGAGGCCCGCGTACCGCAAAAAAAAAAAAAAAAGAAAAGGAAAAAAAATGGCCGCCTTGGGGAGGGGGACGGAAGTCCCGTCCCCTACGAGTTGTGCCCAAACGGAAATCCCTTTTTCCGCGCCTTCACTGGCTCAGCGACGCAGCCTTCAACGCAGGGCACGCTGGATCCTGCAGTTCCCAGTTTCCAGGAAAAAAGGCCAGGGTCCACCTCAAAGGGCGCCAGGAAATGACTCCTCCCTGTCCACGGCCAGAGCAGTGACTCGACCCTCTTAAAAGGGGCCAAACGTAAGGGTGGTAGGGATGCGTTCTGCAGCTGATCGCCATTAGGCATCCAGGCCATGAATTAGGATGACAAATCTTTCCCAGGATGGTAGGGGCAGCAGTGCAAATTCTGTAAGGAAACATTTTGTTCATTTTATCCTGAGTATTTGTAAATTTTTCTTGGTTATAAGGCAAACATTTTAAAAAATTTCCTTCATGCCTTTATGATTCTCATTTGTAGAATTGTAATTTATTTCCGGATACTAATCTTAAATATGGCAAACTTGAGGAAGTGTAAATATGCCAGATATTCATGACGTAATTTTTTGAAATTCTTCTATGTAGATAATCGTACATTTTGATATAAATTAAAGGTCTGTAAATCGTTTTCCAGTTATTTTAATTCTTTATTGTCTGTGTCATAGCACCAGCTAGAATGTCCAGTATATTTAATATAAGCACTAATAATGAGAACCTTGTTTACTTGTTAATTTTTTTTTTTTGCTTGCTAATTTTAAACCAAAATCTCTGATTTTATTACTAAAATGCTGGTTTATTGTAGTGTTTTCTTTGATACATTTTGACTAATTAATGATATATATATTTTTTCTGCATAGTTGTGGTGTTGTTTTCTAATGTGAATAGATCTATTTTTCTGCATTTATTAAGATAAACATTTTATAATTCATTAGTATATTGAATGCTATTAATGTATTTTCTAATACTAAACGATTCTTGAATTACTGGGATGCTTTTAACTTGTTCTACATTCTGGAAGTGCAGCTAAATTTAATAAGTTTTATGAGAATGCTACGCTAGTACCATAAAATGAGTTGGGGAATACAAATCTCTGAAAGATTTGGAATAAGTTTGGATTCGTCATTTCAGTGAATAATCCATATAACTCCCTTTCTACAAATCAGGGTCTTCCTACAAATCTGTCAGATAATTTAAAAGTAGGAAGTGTCAAATAGATGTGATATTTGTTAGTTTGATAAAGAAAGACATGTCTGGGGACTTCCCTGGTGGTCTAGTGGTTAAGACTCAGCACTTCCAGTGAAGGGGGTGAGGGTTCAATCCCTGGCCTGGCAACTGGGATCCTCCCACATGCTGCACAGCCAAAAGATTAAAAAGAAAGAAAAAAAAAAGACATGTCTGGTGGGTTGACTTATTTATGGTTTCATTTTGTTATTTTATTTTTTAATCAGATATACTGAGTTATAATATAAAACTATAAGATAACAATGTGTACATCGTGCTGATTTGACATATGGATACATTGAAAACAATCCCCCCCATCTATTTAATTAAGACATCACCTCATATATTCATCTTGTGTGTGTGAGACAGAGAAAACATTTAAGTAATACTCTCTCCGCATATATCAATTATAAAATACAGTGTTATCCACTATACTCATTGTATTTTACATTAGATGCTCAGACGTTATTCATTTTATACCTGAAAGTTTGTTCCCTTTCACCAAACTCTCCTTATTTCTTCCACTGCCCCTCTTAACCCCAATAACATTTATACTCTCTGTTGTCACAAATGGCAAGAGCTCCTTCTTTCTCATGGCTATGTAGTATTCATATATATATGGGCTCCCTATATATATCACATCTTCTTTATCCATTCGTCCACTGATGGACACTTAGGTTGTCTCCGTATCTTGGGAATTGTGAAAAATGCTGTAATGAACGTGGGAGAGCACATATCATTTCAAAATCCTGTTTTCATTTCCTTTAGAATTATACCCATATGTGGAATTGCTGGATAGTAGGGTAGTTCCATTTTTAATTTTTTGTGGAAACTCTCTACTTTTTTCCACAGTAGCTGCACTAATTTACATTCACAGAATCGGTAGACAAGGGTTCACATTTCTCAACAACCTAACACTGTTATCCCTTGTTTTTTGATGACTGCCATTCTAACGTGTGAGGTGATATTTCATTATGGCCTTGCTTTGCATATTTAGTAATGTTGAACACATTTCCATGTACTTGTTGCCCATTTTTATGTATTCTTTGGAAAATATGTCTATACAGTTCCATTGCTCATTTTTAAATTATTTATTTTGCTATTAAGTTGTATGAGTTCTTTATATATTTTAGATATTAACCCCTTATCAGATGTATGATTTTCAAATATTTCCTGCCATTCTGTATATTCCCATTTCATTTTGTTGATGGTTTCCTTTGCTATGCAGAAGCTTTTTCGATTGATGTACTCCCACTTGTTTATTTTTGCTTTTATTATCTTTGCTTTTTGTGTCAAACCCAAAAAAATCAATGCCAAGGCAAATGAAAAGGAGCTTTCACCCTATGTTTTCTTCTAGAAGTTTTATAGTTCCAGGTGATGTGTTCAAATCTTTCGTCCATTTTGAGTTGATTTTTGTGTATCGTGTAAGATAGGGTTAAAGTTTTGCTCTTTTGTGTCTTTCTGTTCCCCAACGCCATTTATTGAATAGACAATCCAGTCCTCATTGTGTATTCTTGACACCTTTGGTGTAAGCAAATTCACCATATGTGCACATGTTTATTTCTGGGCTCTATATTCTGTTCCATTGATCTATAGTTGTCTCTATGCCAATGGTGGGATTTAAAAGCTTAATTCCAATCCCTCATACTATACTGGGAGTACGATTGCATATTTCTAAAATTAAATACACTCTGTAAATATTTATTGCGATTAAGTTCATGCAATAATCTGTAATGAGACTGTGTCCTTCCCATACCTCCATTCACAGAATCTTTACAATAGCGTCAAGGGTATGTTTCAGTAAATGACAGAGACTTGAATGATTTCCAGTTATCTAAGTAGATAACCAACTAACTTTTGCCCCCAGTAGTCATAAGGTCATTTCTAACCCAGTCAGAAATGAATAATTTTATGATGAAACATTAATATGTCATTATTCTTTTGTCTGATGACAAATAGCTGATGGACACTGTTAAGCAATGAAGCCACAGTAAATAAAGCATTTTATTTACCACACTGACATGACCCCACCATGTCACACAGTCAGAACCTTCAATGTGAGAACTCTCTGACTTGGTTCGCTAACTTTGACTTTCTCAATTACCTCATTTCTTTGCATTTCTGCCCCCTATTCATTTTCCTCTTTTTTTTTTTTTTGTTTTTTTTGTCCATGCCATGGGCTTCCGGATCTTAGTTCCCTGACCAGGAATTGAACCCGGGCCCACAGCAGTGGAAGTGCAGAGTCCTAACCACTGGACCAGTCCTAACCCTGACCAGGAATTCCCCCTCTATTCATTTTCTATTGCCCTTGCAACAAATTATTACAAACTTAGAAGCTTAAGACAGTTTCTATAGACAACATATAGTAGGATCTTGGTTTTCTACCTACTCTGAAAATCTCTTGTAATTGGTCTTCTGCTGTTCAAAGTGATTACTAATAGAGTTGGATTAATATATACCACATCTGTTACTAATTTGTGTTTGTTGCCCTTGCTCTTTGAATTTTTGTCTCACACTCTTTACCTGCTTTATGTGGTTTTCACTGAGTGTTTTATGATTCCATTTTATCTTGTTAGCGTATCAGTTATATTTTTAGCTGTTCCTATAGAGTTTCCAGTAAACATCGACAACTAATCCAAGTCCACTTTCAAGTAACGCCTTTTCCACTTCACGTAGTGTACCTCATAATAATAAAATAATCCCAATTCTTCCCTCTAATCCCTTGTATTATTGATGTCATTCATTTCACTTATATAAAAGCATAAGCATACACACACACACACACACACACAAGACATGCATACAGATAAGCATACATAATAGAATATGTTGTTGGTATTACTACTTCAAATTGTTATCTGTTAGATCAATTAAGAACAAGAAAAATAATATTTTATTTTTCCTTCATTTATTACTTCTTCACTGCTCTTCTTTTTGTAGATTGGACTTTTTGACCTATATCATTTTTGTCATCTCTAAAGTTTTTAAACATTTCTTGCAAGGCAGGTGCTATGGTCTGAATGTTTGTGTTGTCCCTCCAAAACCTCTGTTGAAAGAATAACCCCCAAAGATGCTAGTATTAGGAGGTGGGGACTTTGAGAGATGCTTCAGTCATAAGGTGATAGAGCCCTCATGGGTGGAATTAGTCCCTTTATAAAAGACGCTCCAGAGAGGCCCCTAGCTCCTTCTATTACATGAGGACACAGCAAGAAACCACCTGCTATGAACCAGGAAGAGGGTTCCCACCAGAGAACTCGACCATGCTGGAACCTGTACTCCACAGCCACCAAACCTATGAGAAAAAAATGTTTATTTTTTTTATAAACTAACAAGTCAGGCTTTCCTGGTGGCACAGTGGTTGAGAGTCCACCTGCCGATGCAGGGGACATGAGTTCATGTCCCGGTCCAGGACGATCCCACATGCCGCGGAGCAGCTGGGCCCGTGAGCCATGGCCGCTGAGCCTGTGCGTCCGGAGCCTGTGCTCCGTGACGGGAGAGGCCACAGCAGTAAGAGGCCTGCGTACCGCAAAAAAACAAAACAAACAAACAAACAAACTAACAAGTCTGTGATTTTTTGTTATAGTATCCCAAATGGACTAAGACAGTAGGTTTACTGAGAACAAATTCCCTCAGTTTTTGTCTTTGAAAGGCTTTGGTTTCCCTGCATTACTGAAGGATAATTTTGATGGTACAGAATTCAAGGTTGACTTATTTTTCATCTCAGCACTTTAAATATTTCACACCTCTCCTTGTTGCATGGTTTCTGAGGAGATATTGGATATAATTCTTAACTTCATTCCTCAATGAGTATTTTCCCCCTCTGGCTTCTTTTAGGATTTTTTAAATCTTTGATTTCCTGTAATTTCAAAATTATGTCTACATGTCATTTTTTGGCATTTATCCTGCTTAGTACTAAGGTTCCTGGATCTGTGCTTCCTTGTCTGACATTAATTTCTTCCTTAACTAAGTATCTTGGACAACCTAATTGCTACTGAGATTGAGTCTCTAATTTGCTCCAAAGACTTAATCTCTGGGCTTCCCTGGTGGTGCAGTGGTTAAGAACCTGCCTGGCAACGCAGGGGATGGGTT